CAATGCAGAGCCTGTCCACTACAACTCCAGCAGTTCCAGCACACCTGTCACCATTCTGAACACGGGAAATCGGATGTTGACAGAAAAAGAATATTATTCCAAATGTAATCATAGACAAACTCGTTTTGCTTTTCTTCACGAGTTAGAACTCACAGACACCGTGCAATCGAGCCGTCGGCACCAGCTTGCATCCAGGCCCCGTTGGTTTGCTGCCATGTAGGCCTGCCGGCAGCAGTTTATTGTTTAAAATAAACATACACATTGGCCGCCCGTATGGCCGACTCGCGCAGTGCCTTCGGGCGCTCCGGATCGGCGGCAGGCGACGGGTTGCGCGGGGGGGCCAGCAAAGACGAAGGTGTTAGGAATGATGTTTTAAAATTCAAGTCATCCTTATCCCCTCCGAACACCTTACGTGTTCCAACTATAAAGGATGGCGGGGCCCCTGCGCAAGCCGTGGCCGGCGTGGTTCCTGACGCAGCAGCAACCCCAGCAGCAGCTGCAAAGCAAACCCGTTTGCCCGGGCGGTTCGAAGACTTCCCTCCTTCCTCTTCCCACGTAGCAGATGACCCAGCGGCGCTCTTCGTCCTCAGTAAAAAAGGGCCGCCAGGGAGACCCGGACGGGATGCGCCCCCACCAAGCTTGGGCTCCAGACAGTTCTCTGGCGGCGCTGCTGGTGCTGCTGCTTCTGCCTACACCATTGGCTCCCTTGGGAGGAAGGATATACTCTTGAGACGGAAGCACGGACGGGGTGGTTTCCGGATNACACCATTGGCTCCCTTGGGAGGAAGGATATACTCTTGAGACGGAAGCACGGACGGGGTGGTTTCCGGATAGGTAGGACCCTCTCTTAGTAGCCACCCAGCGTAAAAGAAGCTGAGTGTATACAGTCATATTAGAAGCTTATGCATAAGTGCAGCGCTGAGCAGCAGTTCCAAGAGCAAGTGAGTGCACGAATATTCGATTGGCAGGCGGCCCAATGGATCCCCCGGTGCTGTGTGTTTGAGGGCTGCGGGTGTTGTTGCAGCGGGCGGCCGGAGAGGCGTCAGCAGGGAAGGAGGCGATGAAACCTCTGAAGATGAATCTCTTCACAAACTGGATGTGTACGGCATGGAAGGTCAGGGCCTTGGTGGCTCTCATTCTGCAGCGGACGCGTTGCTGCTTTCGGGGTCGAAAGTCTTCATTAGAGGCAAAGAGAAAATCAAAGGAAAGAAATCTGACTTCAGGGGCCTCGTCACAATGCAAGTCATAGACCCTTCTCTCCTTGGCAAGCCACTGTTGCAGCAGGTGCAACCTTTCCAGTTAGCTGGCAGCAGGGGAGGGACCCGATATGGCCGTATTGTGCAGAACGAGCTCCCGAATTTGATGCACCTCAGCAAAAGCAGCGTCATACCCGCAGAAGCTCAGCTTGGAGATGGGTAAGCTCTGGGATACATGGCCTGGGAATGAACGTGAATATGCTCGGAGTGAACTGCCACCCCTGAGTTGTATTTCATGGGGTGAAACGAAATGAATTTCAGGATGCAGCGCAACGGGCGCTCGGGCGAAGCCTTCTGCGCCTCCTTAGACCACAAGCGGAAACTTGAGACACGGTAGCGGACATGTATGGNTGCAGAAAAAAAGACCCAGAAGAGTCGATAGACAGCCTTATGTATCTGCCGTCCTGCGACGACACGGCGATTATTGATTGTTTGCAGCAGCGGTTTAACCGTGGCAATTATTTCACGTCCTGTGACAACCTGTTGATATTTGTGAACCCTTGGGACTCACATGACGCAGCGAGTGAAGAGGTATTCAGCCGCAGCACAGCCGTGCACTACTGGACGTCCCGCGTGGCGGAGCTGCCATCACATCCTTACTTGGTGGCTCGCCGGGCGTTCACGAATGCAAGAAAACAGCACACAAACCAACTCGTACTCACCTTTGGAACGTTCGGCTCGGGGCAAGACCGTGTGCACCACGAGCTAGTGAAGCTTTTCATTCGCTTTGCCTTGATCATGGAGGAGACCTGGGTAGGGCTGCTTCTTTGTTTCCCCTTCGACGCTTTCAGCAGAAAGCAGAACTGTTCTTCTGTACCCCTATACTCAAGCTCTGGCTGGCTGCTGCTGTCGGCAGTACCTTGCAACGTGCTGAACTTTGTGGGTGCACCGCTTTCCTGTGCAGACAGACGAACAGGCACTCGCCATGGAAACCAAGAGAGACGCTGCAGTGTCCCTTTTGGAGTCGCTGCACATTACGAAGAGGGGGGAGCTGTTTGGGGGACGGCTGATGGACCTCTTTCAAGTAGAGCTNAGTCGCTGCACATTACGAAGAGGGGGGAGCTGTTTGGGGGACGGCTGATGGACCTCTTTCAAGTAGAGCTTGACTCCGAAGGAGACGTTGTGGGTTTCAGCTTCTTGCCCAACTCATCCTTTGAACCCAGCCAGTACGTTCTCGCTCACTAGGCGCCTGCGCAGGCTTTGCAGTGTGTGCATCATGCTGCTGATGTGCTACTGATGTGCTTTTATAGCTTTTGTTTACGAGGAATGAATGCTGCTTCCTGTTGCGTGGGGCGTGCGCTTCAGAGACATCATATCGTGGCAGATGCGGCAGGCTGCCAGTTCGGTGCCCCTGCCCAACATCTTCTACCATTTGATGTACGGCATTCACTACAACCCCAGCGACCCGCTGCTGAAGAACGCGGGACTTCATCCTGTCGACGTGAAGACTTTGATGCATTACTTTCCTGCCCCTTTTCTGCTGTACGAAGACGTACACTACGAGAAGTGTCAACAAATCCTCGCCGATCTTTCCGCCATCGGCCTCTCCGACAAGGAAAAGGCCGAGTTCCTCTCTCTTCTTTGCGCTATTCTTGTAGCAGGTAGCACCAGAACCCTACTTTTGTTACATCACTTCTTTCTAGAACTGCATGGGTTGGGGGGACAGGCCAGAGGTTTCCATTGCTCCTCAAAGACCTCTAGCGCGTCGTGTGTGAGGACGCCATAGTGTCTTGTTGTCGCCCTCTATGCACTTGATCTGCAGACGTCGTGAGTTATAAGATACAAAACGAGCTCCCGGCAGAAGCGGAAGAAGTAGAAAAGGAGGAGGAAGCCCCCGTGCCAGCGGCGCCGAGGGTGAGGCGCATAACAAAGCAAAGCGGCCAGACACTTGAGCGCACACTCATGGTAGGCAAGAAGTCGGCGATGAATTTGGCTGGTCTCGACATTATCAATCTGGTGAGCAAATTCTTTGAGTGAACAACCGGTTTGCTGCTAACGGATCAACTGCACTGCAGTGCAGCATTGAGCCTCGCGAGGCATTCAGTTGACAAAAGGTGTGCAACATTTTGCATACGAGCGACAGAGGAAGGTCATACTTCTTCGGGCCTGCGGTTGTGGTTTGACTTCAGCTGGCGAGTCTCCTAGGCGTTGACGAGACGGTAATGCGAGACATCTGCTTGGGGACAGACGCCTGGCAGGTGCGGTATTTGGCCCTCAAGCTTTTTGTGCGTGTGCGTTGGTGGCTACTGGGAATCATCAGTCAAAGTCTGCGGCTATCCAAGAAGACGGATGTTCACAAGTGAGTACGAGCAACGCCGTAGCTGAAGAGAGGCAGCAAAGCACCCGCTGTATGGGACGCTCTCGGCTAGAGCGGGGGGGAAACCTCAATTGGCATTCGCCCGGCAAAGCCTTGTGCTGCAACTACAGAGACTGTTACATTGCAACGCCGACAGGCCTTTTGCCGCAGCCAAGCAAGCTGTTGGGCCTTGGCCGTGTCAGTGAACCGCCGTGACTTTCATGAGGCTTGGGGTAAAGCGGGTGTTATGAAGGACATGCAGTGGACGAAAGGCAAGAGGCCATGGTAATAGAATTGACGTTGTGGATGCGTTGCAGTCGGGTGACGCTGCTGAAGGCAGCTGGCCTGGACTTTCGACGTGTGAGCCCGGAGTGGGCTTTCAACCAACTGCTGCACAACTACGCGGAGGAGTGTTTACTCCACATATTTGCAACTTGGGCGTTCACTCTCGGTCAGCTGCAGAGCCTCAGTGTTGCTTCTCGAGATGCTTTGTTCTTACGTGGTTCCCGATGTTGCACACTGCTCATCTGCAGCACACGACGGCGGTAGCGTAGTTGGAGATAAAAGTATCCGAGTTTCCACACGAGCTGCTTGGCCGACTCGTCTCTTTCAATGTCTTTAACGACGGGACCGTAAAGTGCATGTGTGTGTGAGAGTACAGATCAAGCAACATATCTGCTGGAAGATGTGAAGCCTCCTCCAGCAAACTTTAGCTTGAACGACGAGATCCTTGAGGTTTTCACTGGCCCCCNGAAGATGTGAAGCCTCCTCCAGCAAACTTTAGCTTGAACGACGAGATCCTTGAGGTTTTCACTGGCCCCCACGGTGTATGGCAAATATTGAAGCACGAACACACAACTAGGGGGGGAGAAGCAGCAGATGATCTGTCGGACGGAATGCCGTTAGCTGCCGTCTCCTTCGTTGATCGAATCCTCAAGAGCAAAGGCAAGACTGAGAAAATACGAGTAAGGCTCTTACCTGTAGGGAACCGTCGAAGAACAACGAACGAAACTGTCTTCAAGCTTTGCTCTACTACGGGTGCTGCGCGTCCTGCAGAAAGTTCCAGGGTATGAGCCTCCAAAACCTGAAGTTCTACGCCCTAAAATGGCAGTGAGGGTTGTGAAAGCCACTGCGAATGTGAGCAAAGGGGCAGTAGTAGCTGGTGGCACTTCCGCCAAGAAGGCATCCGGCTCCGGTTTGAACCCAAGTACGCCTTGTCTTTATAAATCCGCTGCGAACGAGCAGCTCTATAGTCTTGTTCCATATAGGGCATTTCTTTGAAGTCATGTATTCTGTCCGTTAGCCGTATGTATTTGCAAGGACCTCCATAGCTGGCCATCGTGGGTAACCGCGCTTATCCCCAG